AAGAGCCTCTTGATGAAGGTCAAAGAGAAGAATGAAAAAGCTGGCTTAAAACTCAACATTCAAAAACTGAAGATCATGGCATCCTGTCCCATCACTTCATGGCAAGTAGAAGGGGGAAACAGTGGAAACAGTGACAGACTTTATTTTCCTGGGCTCCAAAATCACTGCAGATGGTGACTGCAGCCACGAAATTAAAAGACGCTTCCTCCTTGGAAGAAAAATTGTGACAAACCTAGACTCAGAGGCTCAGTCGTGTCTGACTCTTTGTGACCCCATGAATTATACAGTCCATGGAATTCTCCAGGCCAGAATACTGGAGTGGGTAACCTTTCCCTTCTCCAGGGGAGCTTCCCAACCCAGGGATCAAACCCAGGTCTCCCATATTGCAGGTGGATTCTTTACCAGCTGAGTGACAAGGGAAACCCACAAACCTAGACAGCATATTAAAAAGCAGAGACATTACTTGGTTGACAAAGGTCTCTCTAGTCAAAGCTTTGGTTTTTCCAGTAGCGATGTATGGATGTGAGAGTTGGACCATAAAGAAAGCTGAACACCAAAGAGTTGACGTGTTTGAACTGTGGTGTTGGAGAAGACTCTTGAGAGTCCCTTGGACTGCAAGGAGATCAAACCAGTCAATCCTAAAGGTAATCAGTCCTGAATATTCATTAGAAGGACTGATGCTGAAGCTGTAGCTCCAATACTTTGGCTACCTGATGCAAAGAACTGACTCATTGGAAAAGACCCCAATTGCTGGGAAAGATTGAAGGCAGGAGGAGAAGGGGATGACAGATGAAATGGTTGGATGGCATCACTTACTCAACGGACATGAGTTTGATCAAGCTCCAGGAGTTGGTGATGGACAGGGCAGCCTGGCATGCTGCAGTCCATGGGATAACAAACTGTTATCCAACTCAGTTGGACACAACTGAGCGACTGAACAACAATATTATTGTATTGCCCAAGTCCTATAACCTTTTAGTTACTATTTTAATGATTACTAAAATCTCATGTTTATAACCTCTTTCAGCTACTAATTCAGTCGCTTGTATTGGGCATTTGGACCAGGAATGGGGGCATGTAGGTTGAGTTATGGGGCTTCCCTGGTGGCTCAGTGGTAGAGAAGCCACCTGCCAATGCAGGAGAAGTGGGTTGATTCCTGGGTCAGGGAGATCACCTGGAAGAGGAAATGGCAACCTGCTCCAGTCTTCTTACCTGGGAGATCCAATGGCTCCCAGAGAAGCCTGGAGGGCTACAGTCCATGGGGTTGCAAAAGAGTCAGACACGACTTAGTGACTGAACAACAACAGGTTGAGTTATGCTGTGGATGTTTGTTTTTAAAAAGCAAACAAAAGTCCTAGCATTAGCTAGGATTTTGTTGTAGTTCTTGATTTTTTTTTTAAGATTTTAATTAGTTGCCAAGGGGAAATCATGGATAACCCTTAAAATCAGATTTATAACATTCAAGCTTGGCCCCTAGCAGCTGCAGTCCACCCTCCTTTAGAGAGAACACATGCTCTCCACTTTGTTACAGATGCCACCACTCCCTGTAGTCATTCTCCAAGCCAGCATCACTCATCTACATGATCACGTCTTGATTCCTAGATGCACTTGAGACTGCAACCTTTGGTTTAATCTCTTTCCCACTCAAGGTAATTGTTTGCTTCTGTTGTATTATTTCCTTAGGGTATATCTCTAAAACAAGCTACATTTTTACTCTTGCTATAATATACTCCATTTGGGATGTCTGTTGAGGCCACAGATGTCTGTCTCTCTTTTGGGAATAACTGTCCTAGACCCTCTCCTGTAAGGGAGCTCAGCAAAAGCCAAGCTTTCCCACTGTCCCCCACCCAGGGGGATTCTGCTTCCTGCTACTGCAAAGTTCTTTCTCATTCTGGAAGCTACCCTGTGACTTCCAAGTACACTTTATTTTCTTAAGCTGGATCTAAGTGGTTTCTGGTGGCCCCATTCTGCATGTCAGTTCCTTTTTTTACAATACTTTATTTTATTTATTTATTTAGTTGTGCTGGGCCTTGGTAGCAGCATGTAGAATCTTTAGCTTCGGCACGCAAACTCTTTTTTTTTTTCCTCATTTATTTTTATTAGCTGGAGGCTAATTACTTTACAATATTGTAGTGGTTTTTGTCATACATTGACATGAATCAGCCATGGAGTTACATATATTCCCCATCCAGATACCCCCTCCCACTTCCCTCTCCACCCGATCCCTCTGGGTCTTCCCAGTGCACCAGGCTCGAGCACTTGTCTCATGCATCCAGCCTGGGCTGGTGATCTGTTTCACCCTAGATAATACACATGTTTCGATGCTATTCTCTCGAAACGTCCCACCCTCGCCTTCTCCCACAGAGTCCAAAAGTCTGTTCTATACATCTGTGTCTCTTTTTCAGTTTTGCATATAGGGTTATTGTTACCATCTTTCTAAATTCCATATATATGTGTTAGTATACTGTATCTGGCGTGTAATGGTACCTCATTGTGGTTTTGATTTGCATTTCTCTGATAATGAGTGATGTTGAGCATCTTTTCATGTGTTTGTTAGCCATCTGAACTCTTTTTTGTTTTGTTTTGAAAGCTAATCTCTTGGTCAAATTCCTGTTTTTAACATTTATTTTTAATTGGAGGATACTTGCTTTACAGTGTTGTGTTGGTTTCTGCTGTACAACAGCAGAATCAACAATAATGATACCTGTTTTTTGATGCCACGAATTTGTTTTTACCTGTCCTAGAACTTCACTTAAGTGGAATCATGAAGCAGGTACTCTTCTGAGTCTGGTTTATTTCACTCCACATAAAGTTTTTAAGATTCATCCACCTTGTCTATATCAGTAGTTCCTTTGCATTGCTGAATGGCAGTCCATCGTGTGATGTTGTTGTCTCAGTCGTGGCTGACTCTGCAATCCCATAGACTGTAGCCCACCAGGTTCCTCTGTTCATGGAATTTTCTAGGCCGAAATACTGGAGAGGGTTGCCATTTCCTCCTCCAGGGGATCTTCCTGACCCAGGGACTGAACCTGAGTCTCCTGCATTGCAGGTGGATTCTTTACCCTCTGAGCCACTGGGGAAGCTTATTGTGTGATGTGGCACAGTTTATTTAACCAGGCTCCTGTTGACGGATATCTGGGTTATTTGCAGGTATTAACAGCTGTGAACACTCACATACAAGTGTCTGTTGAATGTATGTTCTCATGTCACATAGGTACACACCTCGGACAGGGATTTCTGTGTTGCGTAGTTTGTGCTCAGCTGCTCAGTTATGTTGACTCTGTGCGACCCCATCAACTGCAGCCCACCAGGCTCCTCTGTCCATGAAATTCTCCAGGCAAGAATACCAGAGGGAGTTGCCATTTCCTCCTCCAGGGAATCTTCCCAACCCAGGGATTGAACCAGAGTCTCTTGAGTCTTCCTGCAATGGCAGGTGGATTATTTACCACTAGCGCCACCCGGAAAGCCCTCTTGCATAGGGTAGTACATGTTTGACCTCATAAGAAAGTTTCAAGTTGTTTTCCCCAGAGATTGTACCATTTTACATTCCAGTCCCTTATATGAGAGGCCCATGCTCTGTATCTTTGCAACACTTGGGATTATCGATCTTTTCGATTGCAGGAGTTGTGGTGGGTATGTAGTTGCATCTAATTGTGATTTTAATTTGCATTTCTCTTATAACTAATGATGCTGTTTTTTTTCAAGTCCTAATTAGCAGCCAGAATAGAATATCTTCTCATGTGAAGAATCTGTTCATTTTGATTATTCTTTTATTTGGGTTGCCGGCTTATTGAGTCGTGGTTGTTTATACCATCTGGGAGAAGTCTTTGGTCTGGCATAGGTTTTGTGAATATTTTCTTACAGCTGTGGCTGGAATTTTCATTTTCTTAAAAGTATCTTTCAAAGAGCAGATGTTTCTAATTTTGATGATGGCCAATTTATCCATTTTTTTCTTATATGACTGGTGTCATGTCTAGGAAATATTTACCTGCCTTCAGGTTGTGAAGGTGCTCATGTTTTCTTTTCTCTAGTAATTCTGTAGTTTTAACCTTATGTTCAGGTCAATATAGGGTTTGGGGATTTTTTAAAATTTAATTTTATTTATTTGGCTATGCTGTGTGTTTGTTGTAGAACATGGGATCGTGATCTTTGTTGCAACATGTAGGGTCTAGTTCCCTGACCAGGGATCAGACATGAGCCCCTGCATCGGGAGCTCCAAGTCTTAGCTACTAGACCCCAGGGAAGTCCCCAATACAGAGTTTTGAGCAAAGAGTTGGTATGACATAATGTATGTCTTAATAGCATCATTGAGCTGTTTTGAGATAAGACTGGTGGGCTGAATTTAGTCTTGAGGATGTTAGCAAGGAGGATACTGCAATGATCAAAGCTGAGAGCAGCCAGGGAAAGTGGGGCTGCAGGACAGCAGTGAAATACTGGGAATATAGGTGAGGTTTTCAGGCTTGTTCTTCATCTTCCTTAATGAATAATATCCAACTCTAAGGAAAGATATTTCCCTTCTCTGAAGACCCCTGTGCTTGTAGATTTACATGAGGCCAAGTGTATGTATAGAACTTGCCTTGAGACTGAATTTTTGCTGTTAATTTATCTTGATTTTTAAAAAGTAAATAATTTGTTTTGACTTTAATTTCACACATTGTCATTCTTCATGTATTGTTGTTCAGTCACTAAGTTGTGGCAGACTCTTTGCAGCCCCATGAATTGCAGTACACCAGGCTTCCCTGTCCTTCATTGTCTCCCTGAGTTGCTCAAACTCATGTCCATTGAGTCAGTCATGCAATCTAACCATCTCATCCTCTGTCACCCCCTTCTCCTCTTGCCCTCAATCTTTCCCAGTATCAGGGTCTTTTCCAGTGAGGTGGCTGTTTGCATCAGGTGGCCAAAGTATTAGAGCTTCAGCTTCAGCATCAGTCCTTCAAATGAATATTAAGGGTTGATTTCCTTTAGGAAATCTTCAGGCATTGCAGCCCCAAAGAAAATATGAAAGTTCATCTATTCATTCACAAAAGATTAAAAAAAGAAAATCAACACATTTCACGCAGTGCTCCACAATAGTTCTCCTGGGTAGGACTCATAAATCCATGTCCCTGTCTTAGACACTTCAACTCATGTCTGATCCTTTCTTTAACTCATGATTTATTGCTCTCAATTACTCCTTTTTGCCAGATTTATAAACGTAACTGTTCTTTATTTAATACCTATTTTGTACACTAGGCAACAAGGCAGTAAATTTATTGTCTATGAGTTGCTACTTTGAAAAATTACATCAATGCAAAGTGATTGCCTTTCAGCCTTCCTAGCCAATAAATTCATTTCTTTTTTTTTTTGTAGGGATGATATGAGGTCATAGGATAATATATATAATCACTGATCACAGAATTAGAAGAAGCAAGTTGCAGGCAACTGCTCTTACTCTGAGCTATACCCCCGAGAAAGAGCAAGTTGAAAGAAGCTAAGAAGGAAGACTTCTATCTCCTGCCAATCATGTATAAGCTGGTCTCCTGCTGTTTGCTTTTCATAGGATGCTTAAATCCGCTCCTGTCTCTTCCTGTCCTTGACTCCAGGCAAGAGTCCCTGCAGCTCTTAGGTAAGATGATTTTTTTCCCTTATGTTAGTCTTGAACGAGTCTTCAACAGTCTTAAATGCAACGTTAGAGATGAGAATGAAAATTCTCTCTTAAAGGAGTCTTGTTAATAATCCCAGCTATGAAAAGAATTCTGAGGATCCTTAAGGCATGTCTTGGAGTCAAGAATGGACAAAGTTTTTTCCTTTCTAATATATAAAAGTAGAAGGGGAACATTGCTTATTTAATGTCACTTCTGTAATTCTGAGTTATTTTTGTCAGTCTTTTTTTTCCTCAGTTTTGAAAATGGCACTAAATTTAAAACATCATTGCTTTTAGTCCTTATTTTAAGTGAACTGGTTGAATGCAGAACTGGCTGTTCCAATTATAGATTAAAGTATTTTGATTTTATCTTATATTAAGTTAAAAGGTAATCATCTGACATGTGCTACATGAAACAAAAATGTTTTTTAAAATATAAAAAAGTAACCAGCTGGGACTAAGGTAGACACAGATTTCCAAGCTCATTTATCTTTTCCTTTTGGTTTATGTTTCATTCGGTTCCATTCTAAGTTGAATTTTTTAAAGCGTATCAATCAAGGAGATACTTATTGTGCTTTTAGCTTTTCATTTAGTTTAAGAAATGAAAAGTTTGGGGAAAAAAGAAAAAAAAGTTTATGCTTGAGGATTGTGTTCATAAACATTTTAAATGGATTTTAACTTGTCTTTTATTGTGGATAATTTCAGACATTTTTTAAATATAAGAAATAAAACTCTGGTAAGCCAGTGATTTTATAATTTCTAGTCCATAAGTTTCTCCCAAACAGCTTTCTGATTAGTCAAGCACTAATTCATGCACTATTAATCACTTTCCAGAGTCACTGAACTCAGAAGTGGCAGTCATCTTAATGGTTAAAATGAGCATTTTAACTTTATTGAATCTCTGCTATTTAAAAAAAGAACTTTGAAAAGCATAAGGTGAAATGAAGAATGAATATTCAGATATTACTGACATCCTCAAAAAATTGCATGTCATCATTATTTTTTTAAAACTTGAATGTGTAGCATCTCCCTTCCAATTCTTAATAGGTGACAGCTTACCTTAGCATTTTTGCCTGAATTTTTTCCTACTTACTTGTTTTTTCATAAGTGATCCTTCCCTGGTGGCTGAACAATGCAAGAGACTCTGGTTCAGTCCCTGGGTTGGGAAGGTGCCCTGGAGAAAGAAATGCAACCCGCTCCAGTATTCTTGCTTGAAAAATTCCATGAACAGAGGAGTCTGGCGGGTCACAGAGTCAGATATGACTTGGCGACTGTAAACAAACAACAAAAAACAGCAAAACAAGTGATCCTTCATGACAAAAATATTGATATGTAGCCAAACTTTGTAGACTTTCATTAACATTCTTCAGAAGTACCATGAAGCCTTCATTATGGCTTACTCTTTATTCTCCAATCAAGGTTGGAGCTGAGGGTTTGAAAGCCTTAGTGAAGCAGGTGGATTTTACAGGACTCCTTGGGGGCTCTGATCACCCCACGGCAGAAACCGGCCAAGAGAACTATCTGGGCCCAGTATCACTCACCAGCCCCCACACTCACCTCTCGCACACCTGACACAAACTTACCATGCATCTTCTATGCTACCAAACTAAAAATGTTGCTATCAACTTCTTCAAAGAATATTATAAAGCTGACTTGTTTCTGATAATTGTGTCTAAATCTTAGAGCCCAGATAAGAGGTGATGGTATCATATTTGCTTTAGGTGTGTGTGAGTGAGTCACTCAGTTGTGTCCAACTGTTTGTCAACACTGTGGATATTAGCCCACCAGTCTCCTCTGTCCATGGGATTCTCCAGGCAAGAATAGTGGAGTGGTTGCCATTCCCTTCTCCAGGGGATCTTCCTGACCCAGGGATCAAACCTCGGCCTTCTGCATTGCAGGCAGAATCTTTACTACCAGGTCGGAAGAACACAAACAAGTCTGTCTTTTAGAAAATCTCTCCTTTACTTTTCCTCTCAGTCCAATCTCGCCACCCCTATATTTAAAAGCAAAAGGCAAATGATAGCAGTAGGTAAACAGAGATGAAGAAGAATCACTTTGTAAGTGGAAATTTTTTTCACCAATCCTGTGGCTTAGCTTCACTAAGGCTTTCAAACCCTCAGCTCCAACCTTGATTGGAGAATAAAAGGCCCTCTCTCTCTTTTTTAATTTTTAAAATTTTTAATTTCTTTACTTTTTGGATCATGTGGGATCTTAGTTCCCTGACCAGGCATTGAACCCACACCCCTTGCAGTGGAAGTACAAAGTCTTAACCACTGGACCACCAGGGGAGTCCCAGCCCTACCTTCTTATTCAGGGTGGTGAGCATCCAGCAAGGCTGTGTAAGCAGGAGGAGTCAGAGTGAGACCCACGCCTCATGATTTCCTGTTCTGCCGGCTTGCAAACTGGACTGTAGCATTTCCACTTCTCTGTTAAAATACTGCTAATGACAAACCATGAACTCAGTGTTTGAAATCTATCTAGTATTGGCTTCCTGTTGCTGGTGCATGCTCATGCTTAGTCACTCAGTCATGTCCCACTCTTTGCAACCCCGTGAGCTGTAGCCCACCAGCCTCCTCTGTCCATGGGACTTCCCAGGCAACAACACTGGAGTGGGTTGCCATTGCCTCCTCCAGGGAATCTTCCCAACCCAGGGATCGAACCTGTGTCTCCGGCATTACAGGCAAATCTTAACCACTGAGCCACCTGGGAAGCCCCTCCCTATCCCTGGTACCTCCCTAAAGACAAAGGGGAACAGAACTGAAGCAGGAGCTGTCGCTAATATCAATCATTGGTCTGTGTAGCACCTGAAGATGTCAGATCAACTCTGGATGAGCTGGAAAGAGCGTCTCTTCTGCAGATGCTGCCAGAGATGTCAGGCGCAGAGACAGGAGAGGGTCTTAGGAACGCAGGTAAAATGACTCGTGTTTACAGGCTGTATGATTTCTTTGCTACTGAATTTACTCTCTGAGTGATCACACTCTCCCCTCCTGCATACAGTCTTCCTCTGCCATCTTCTGTCTCCTTTTTCTCAGCAACTCCTTGTAAGCATCCTCTGCTTGGCCCCTCAGCATATTTGTTCTCTGTATGAATTTGGAGGGAGGGGCAGGGAGAGGGAAGAAGAGCATTATCCCAGTTTTCAATAAGTATAATTTACAATGCTATCTTCCCACTTAAGTGAGTTAATTTATCTGTATCTCAGTTTCTTAAACTAGTACACAGGAATGATTAAAGAAACAAAATTCCCATCTCATGGGGTTATTGAGAAGATTCAATGAGGAAATGCAAGTAAAATGTTCAGCACAGTCAAACACAAAATAACCCATAAAATGTCAGCTTTTACTGTTTTCTCAGTGACAGCATTCTTCCTAGCACAGATACAAATGCTCAAAACATTCTGGAGTCTTTCTAATAAATTTGGTTTTGTAGAAAGAAATTCATTTGTAATATAGCATTGTTGATAAAATACTGAACTGCTGAGGAAAATGCAGTGCCCTTTGTGAACTCTGGAGGCTAGAAAAGAGCCAAATGCTTGCCTATCCTCCTTCAAATAAATATCACTGTGGTGTGAAGAAAGGAAAAGCAGAAACTAGACATGATTTAGTAATATTCTACCTTGTGTGTTTTAAATAAGACAAGGATAAAATGGAAATAATAGATCTGATGATGAATGGTTTCAAAATACTGTTTTTCAGATCCCATTACCAACATTTTTCACCCAAGAGGAAACATGAGAAAGGTAAGTAGGTCCTGTATGAGAGTTAGGTTAGAGAAGGTGAACATTTCTATGCCTTGACTTTAGAGGAGCCTCAATACGAACCAGTCGAGCCTTCTCGGTACAAATCTTAAGTTGTTGGACACCCAGTATTATTTCAAAGCATTATATTTTTCCAAATTTTGATCCATATAAAATGTGGATACAACAAGAGCTTACCTAGCGTTCATCTGGATAAATGATCATAATAAGTTTAAGAGAGTCAAAAAAAGGCCTTGCCCTCAAGTCTGTCGTCCACTTGAGCTGTGTCATTGATTATCTTCACTGGGTCCAAGGACCAGCAGTACTCGTGTCACATGGAAGCTTGTGAGAAATGCAGACTCACCCCACCCCCCAGAACCTACTGAATCAAAATCTGCATCTTAACAGGATTCCCCCACGTGGTTTGTATGCACAGTAAAGTTTGAAAAGCACTGTCATATAATATCTAAAAGGAAGAAAGATATGGTCAAAACACCAAGAGGGAATATGTGTGGTAAAGGAGAATATGAAGGAGATAATTTTTGGTGTAGAAGACAGACTACAGTAGGACATGATTAATGAAAATATTAAATGGCTAGAAATGGTGCACAACTAATGGAGGACCTTAACTGCTAAAAGAGAAATCTGTTTTGATCATTATCAACCCCTCAAACTAAACTGAGCTCAGTCGTTCAGTCATTTCTGACTCTGGAATCCCATGAACTGTAGCCCGCCAGGCTCATCTGTCCATGGGATTTCCCAGGCAAGAATACTGGAGTGGGGTACCATTTCCTTTTCCAGGGAATCTTCCTGACCTAAGGATCAAACCTGCATCACTTGGGTTCCCTGTACTGGCAAGTGAATTTTTTACCACTAGCCCCACCTAGAAAGCCCCAAGCTAAGTTAGTGTTTCCTAAAGAATTTTCTGTAAGGTCCTTTAAATTTTCCTGTAGCTCTTTTGGTAAAGAATCTGCCTGCAGTACCGGAGACCTGGGTTTGATTCCTGGGTCAGGAAGATTCCCTGGAGAAGAAAATGGCAACCCACTTCAGTATTCTTGCCTGGAGAATCCCATGGGTAGAGGAGCCTGGCAGGTTACAGTCTATGGGGTCGCAAGAGTCAGACACAATTTAGCGACTAAACCACCAAAGGATTTTCTGTGAATATCAGTCCCATAGAGCCAGCCTACAGAGGCTGCCCTGCATTCTAACCCATCTCCTGTCCAGGCAATTCTTTGTGTATACAGCCTCCAGGAAATGAGATAAACATACTTAATTTTAATCAAGAATTTCCCAATTATTTTGACCAGAAACATCTTCTTCTGGTGTAGTGCCCACTAACCTCCTTGTAAAAATATACCCTGAAAGTCCTCAGTTCTAAAGATGGCATACAGTGCCTGAGGTTCCCAGGTGGCGTAGACCACACAGAAGGGGAGGGTGTGGCTTCTATTACATTAAAAGTTATCATTCAGATATTTATATCTTCTGAGTAGAAAGATTATGGTGAAAGACTCTAAAATCATAAAGATGATTAGTAGAGATGATCATAAAATCCTAGAGTAAAAGGAAAACTAAAGGTCCATGATTAAAGTTAACTTCAAGACAAATAAAAGACCTGATTTACACAGAAGACATTAAATGTGCAGAACATGTTACTGAGAGATGAAATAGAAACAGGTCAATGAAGGTTTAGGAAAATTCAAGGCAATCACAAGGCTAAATAGACTGGATGGACCACAGGTTGGGCACAAGGAGACCTTTCAGAGTCTACATACAGGGTGCTAACTGCAACTCTATCCCATGAAACAGCAAGAAAGCCCTTTTATTTATTAAAAAAAATTTTTTTTTATTAGTTGGAGGCTAATTACTTTATAATATTGTAGTGGTTCTTGTCATACATTGACATGAATCAGCCATGGAGTTACATGTATTCCCCATCCCGGTCCCCCCTCCCACCTCCCTCTCCACCCGATCCCTCTGGGTCTTCCCAGTGCACCAGGCCCGAGCACTTGTCTCATGCA